CTCAAAAATGTCAGGGCAACGAGCACGCCCGTATGAACATAATTCAGCTCGTTATACGCGAACGGACCTCTCTCGGCTGGCCCCACGAGCCGTGAGCCTTATGGGCCCCCATACGGCCGCATGGGCCGTGTATCCTATGCGAGGTGAGGTCAGGGGGCCCTCTGTTCCAATTTTGTGCCCAATAAGACTAATTCCCTCAAAGGTGCCGCGCCTCGAATCCGGCCACCTCTGCGGCGAGAACTTATCGCCAAATTTTACGTAAATTATGTGACGTCGCGCATTACACCGTGCAGCAGTTTCTGTAGAAAAAACTACGTTTCCGAGACGTTCATCGTCATCCGAAGTCACTAAAGGAATCCAGACTAGACCCCGGCTAATTACAGCGTTATGGCAAATGTGTCTGTGAATTTATTTATTATTATACCGCTATGTTGGCACTAATGATTTTGTGCTCATAAATAGCGTGACTCAACCTGCAGGTGAATCAGCAATTTTTAATAATGATCGAATCTACCATAAGTAATATTAATTAATATTTAATTGATAATTAAAATGTTCTGTATTAATTTATACATATTTTGCAAATTTTAAATAAATTCTATAAAAAAATTACAATATTTTGGAGATCATATACTCTTTAAATGATTATTTCGAGAGATAATCATTAGTACATTTATCTTTCAAATAACTATGGTGACTCAATGAATAATTTCCGTATCAAATACTATCGAGCATGTCGAAGCTCACGAATGCGCGCCTTTGGAGAACTACGCGATGGAGAACATCTCGCATCTCCAATAATTTACCCCGTCAGCATTGTGAAGAATGCGTCAACCACAGCAAACAGTAGATTCTGTATGAATTCTGGCCGCGCTCGCGGAAGGCATTTAAAAAAGGTGTCTCTTTTTTTCCGCGGCGTTGAATATGCTGGGTGGCCGTCTGCCGGCAATGGCCCAGTTCTAAAGTTATGCAAAGGACGCATTCATCCGCTCAATAAGGTGATCAGGAAGATATTTGGGGTATTTGGTAGTCTAACGAAGCGGTTAAAGAAAGACAGCGGGACCCGGGCAGAAAAACCACAGTTTTTCGTGAACGTCTATTCAGCTGGTAACTCCATGGGAGGGAGACACGAGACTCGCACTTTCCCCGATGTTAAACGCCATGCATAATTAATACGTTTTTCTTCTGCCCGCGGTGTCACTTATAATTTATTTAATCACGTATCCCTTCGAAAAAACGCGAATCCTTTTTCCACATTTGTTATGAAGATTGTTCGAAATTGATAAAAATAAAATAAATGTATAAAACCAAATGTATACAATAAAACGAAGTTTGCTTAAAAGAAATTCTGTTACTTAAATATTTTTTTAAACCAATATTGTAGTACCTGTATCACATCGTATCCGAATCTCTTCATGCTATGTGTATACAGTTATACTCAGAAAAAAGACATAATGAATTGAATAAACTATTTTATGATTATTGCAAATAAAAAATGATACATTCAACTATTTAAACATTAATCTTTATGAGACAAAAAAGCCACTATTACGCATTGAAACTATATCATACTTCTAAGACAAAGAATACAAGAAAATAATGAATTATAATAAATTTCACTTATATAAGAAAAAGCTTTCTGTAAGAGTTTAAAAATAGACCTCTGGCCTCTAAAGATTAATTCTATAACATATCAAACTATACAACTTGTACAGTTTTATATGTAGAATTAACCTTTAGAGGGCGAAGATCTATTTTTAAACTTAGATATGACTAATGATTATACATCTTTAGGTTACTACCATTATGTTTTCCTCTGAGTGTTTTTTATGATTTTTCATGTGAATCCGATGCTGCAGCCGCCGAATCTCATTCAAGAAATAAATGTTCACTTTCTCTTATATCCGCGCCGACATCTCTCATAGAATTTCAGGCGTCTAATAAGATTCCAATTCAATTACCGGAAAGAAATGGCCCGAAGGTCATCGATCGTCGCCCTCCTCATCATCCACCCACTCGAATTCGAGTGTAAAACGCAAAACAATTTCGGGACGTCCCTTTGATGGGGCCCGGGGTCCCTCTTTACCCCGGTCCCACTCACCCCGACAGCATCCCGTTGATCCGGGCGCGCACGAATTTCTATTAAAAGCGGCAATTAGTCTAAGTCCCGATAAATCTTGATGAGTGATACGCCGACATCAGTCTCGTTGTCAAAGACGCCCGCGGCGCGGCCCGCACCGATTACCAATACACAAAAGCGGGGCGCACGTATCTCGACGCACGCACACACCTAAATGCGTACACGCAGCGAACGTACGTATACGGGGGACACGCGTGAGCGCGACGGACGAATTTCTTCGGACTTTTCTACACCAGACCGCGGGTCCGTTGTTATGTTAAACTAGGTGAGAAAGCTGAGAATACTCCTCCCCCCCCTTGCCCACCTTCTTCATTAGAATTTTTAATGCAGCCGTTTTTAGTGGGCGCTGCCCTCGGAAATCGAGAGCTGCAGCGGGAACGCCGCCGCGAGGAACTCCTAAATGCTCCGACCTCTTTCCTCTCGCCCGCTAGCCGCTTCCTCTTCATCTTCCTGTCTTCTCTTCTTTTCTCTTTCTTTCGCCTCTTGTCCATTTTTTTTTCTTTTCTCTTCTTTTCTTGGTTATTTCGGTCGAGCCTTAAATGCCCGGTCTTTTCCCTCGGCCGCTCCGGCTGCGTCTCTGGAGCACGCGATAAATGTCTTGGCTTGTGTGTGTTCCGTGATTACGCGGCCGCACAGGTGTTTCTCGCGAGGAGTCTAATCGATGTCTAATCGCCGACGGAAGCGGAATCGTTTTATTTCACGGTTTAACTCCATCAAGTAGTCTAACTCCGCGATCGATTTGAGCGGCTATGCCTACAGAACCGTTTCTTATCCGTGCGGTAACTCGCGCTTTCTCCTCGCGCGTATAGAAACGAATTATAGTGTAGAAGATAAAAGTTTTAACGCGCAACATCTGTTGTAATATCGACTCTTGGTCGATCGATGTACGTATGAGAAACGTGGACTATGAGATAAGTGATTTTCAATATAATAGTGATGACGTTGGAATGTCCTGCACATTCGTCATACAAAATAAAAACCTCTAAGAGACTTTTATTAAATTTATTTAATATTCTAGGTTTCTCGTACTTGTGCTGATTTCAAAGAGTGTAAAAGATTCAAGATTGGGAAGTAATGCTTTACTTATAACATTGTTATCGTTACAATTATTTTTAACAATGATAACAATGTTATATTTTTTTAAATAACAGTAATAAGAGTGCAGTTATATTTCTCGGATAATAAATATTAATGACCAACTTTGTGCACATTTGTTAAATATTGATCTACATTCATATAGATTATTATAAACGTGTGTGTGTGTGTGTGTGTAACGTTTGCTAATGTCAGTGTACATGCATTGGCCATACACACCATCTCTTGGCCTACTTTAATAAATATATTATTCGTTATCACATAAAAAAACACGAACATGTCAGATAACAAAATATTACACACGCATACGCACACATACACACACGCACACACACGCGTACGCACAGATATACACACGTGTATATGTATACATATTCGACAATAAAATTATTTTCTAAATATATTTTTAATTATATTAATTGCAAAAGAATAAGTAAACTCAATGATCAAATGAATATTTATTTTTATGAAATAACTTACATATATAGCATTAAATAATTACTTTAACAATCGAACGAAGAATTTATTACAAAATACAATTTTATATAAAAATGTGATTTACTGATGTGCAATGAGATAATAATATAGTGTGTCTAATATATAATGTGATGCTTAAATTGTATATACAATAGAAGTGATAATGAGATTTAAGATACGAAAATTATTGGAAATGGAACTCCAATATCTAATCTAGAATTGTTATTAGAAAAGATATTCAGATTAGAATGTAATATGATAGCATATGATGAATGTAATGTATATAGAATTTAAGTAAATGTTATTTAATACAGTAAAGTTATAATCATCCATTTATATTAAAAATACATATATATTATATTACAAATCATCTAATCTGAATATCTTTTCTAATAACAATTCTAGATTAGATATTGCAGTTCCATTTCCAATAATTTTCATATCTTAAAGCTCATGTCTCATTATCATTTCTATTGTATATACAATTTAAGCACCACATTATATATTAGACATACTATATTATTATCTCATTGCACAACATCAGTAAATCACATTTTCTAATTATTATCCGTGTTAAGTTTTGGTTTGCTTTAAAACCTTTCTGGTTTTCTTTACATGCGAATTAAAAATAGGATTAATAGAATTAAGAAAATCAGATACTTGGCATCTTTTTCGAAATCATCAAAACTCATGCAACTGGCAATCTTCTAGAATACAAGAAAGTGTAAAAATTATTAAAAAAATTAAAGTATAACATTATATTAAATATAAATGCAAAACACACAACTTACTTGGGGCTTAGTTAAATTTTTTTATTTTTTTACAAGTGTCGGAGGTTTTCCTAAATTATTATTAGATTTCAATCTCTGCATACCATGGTCCTCTAACTTAAATAAATGCGATTTACTCCGTGTATGATACCGTGGTATATTCTTTGTATCCTATATAAAATTAATATTATCCTGCCATTAATAATAATATTCAAAATAAATTTAGTAATTAATGACAGTCTAATTAAATACAATCAATTGTAGTTTACAAACTACATATATATGCAATATAATATACAATACTGCAACTATTACTCTTTTTAAGTTTTGGAATATAATTTATTTTTACCATAAATTTATTCATTGACATATCAGAGTTTACAGTATAAGGTTCCTTATGCGTTTTTAAACTCTTTTGCTTGTCACTCTTTTGCTTCCTGGATATTTGATTATAGGCGCGTTTTTGTCCGTTTGTCTGCACGTGCAATAATTGAGTTTTTGAAGTAATGTTTTCAATTTCACAGCGTTTTAATTTTTTTTTCAATTCTGTAGAATGTTTTTTCAATTCACTAAAAATATATTTGATAATATAATTTTTCAGGACAATAATTCTAAAAAGACAATAAAATTTGATATATCAAGAACATTTGTATACTTTTGTTTGCCACATTCCTGTACTAAACATTGTTTTTTTTTGGAAACATGCATATCTTTTTGCTGTTCATTTCTATATTTTTCCCCCAACTCATGTATGCTGCCAAGTTCCCTGAAACATTCAATACAAGTCTATATATAATATTAGATTCTATCTCCATAGATACATTGTATGTAATAAAATATACATTGCATGTAAATATAAAATATCCTTTTAACATTCCTATGTATGTCTTAAATTTGAAAACATCATTTATCTGCGTTATTATATTATTCAATTTATATTTAGAAGAATATATCTATAAGGTTCTGTATGCTACAAAATCAACATTTAATTACAAAATTAAATAGAAACTTGAAAATTGCACGTCTATAATATAATCTATAAAATAAATACTACAATAAATATACTTTTGGAAATATTTGATTTTTTCTTTCAACTTTTCATTCTCTTCCTTTATGTTTGAACATAGTAGTTCATAACATTTAATCTGTCCTTTCTGTATAAGAATTATTTTATTTGTGCTACTTATTTTATGTTCAACTTCAAAAATTTTCTGTTTTAAGTGAGCTATTTCATTCCTCGATTTAACATTGTCCTTTGTAAGTTTATTAAGCTCGTCATTTCTTAGTTTTAGCTGGACGTTCAAGATGTCAACTTCGTTCTGCAAGGATACAGAATCTTTTACGACGTTGTCATCATTTGAAAAGTTGAGATATATTCTCTTTATTCTCTGATTAGTTGTTTTTACCCGACATTGTGGACAAGTCTTTGACCTGAAATAGTTCCACAGATGAAATTAAATGCTTTTAAGTGTAAACAATAACAAAAACTTTCAGGAATTATATATGAAAGTTCATGAAACTTTTTTGAATAATAGGTAAAAATAAAAAAGAATTACAAAAGAATACAAAAATCTTTGAGGCAATATCCAAATTACCTTTTAAGCCACGACTGCAAGCACGCATAATGGAATATGTGCCCACATAATGTACAACAAATATCGCCGGATGGTGTCAATAACTCACTACATATCACGCACGATACATTCATTTTATGTTTTGATGACAAACCGGTATGCCAGATTGTAAATATGTGACAACTGGCTCCGTATTAGACGAGTGTTATGAATTTGACGATAAAACTTGCGCAATATTTTACCAAACGCATCAGTGTGAACTCTTTATTTACACCGTTGTGAATTCTTCTTGATCTTCTTGTTCATGCGCTTCTGCGGGTAACACCGTTACAAATTGAAAAAACAAATTATGTTATTAAAACGTTCATATCAGTCTCATTGGTTCTGACTGCTCTGAGGTAGGGATGAGTACTATTTCATTTGTGCGACTTTTGTCGTACGACAAATGTATATAAGACAGAGAGATCCGACGACCTCTCTATCTAATCAACATCCTTACAAAATTTGTCGTACGGCAAAAAATGCAGAGATCAGAAATTTCTCATATATTTAGGCTGTAACAGTAAAGCTTTAAATGTACCGAAGTAGTACAAGGTCCTTTACTTTCGACTTAATAACTTTATACTAATAACTATACTCATATACTAATAAAACTAAGCGCTTATTGGATTACAGCTACTATGGCTGAAAATGGCGATCGAAACAACCAATAGGAAAGTTGTCGGCATTTAGGTTTAGATAAGGATTGAGCTACTTTGATATGTCTAGAACTTTTTAAATAACTGCTGTAACGCTTGCCCTCTGAAAGTGCAACCTACCACTATATAAGCTTCGGTGGCGCGGCATTTAAACCCGTTTTTATGAGAAAATTTTTAAATCGTATTAATTTACTTTTTAAATAAAATTAATATTACATTTATTAATTATTATCAATATTACATTCATGTTTTTAATACTATGTTATACTATGATTTAACAGCGCCAAGTATTTATTTCTTAAATTTTTGTGTCAATACTTGAATGGATAAAGTGTGTGTGTATGTGTGTGCGTGCGTGTGTGTGCGTGCGTGTGTGTGCGTGTGTGTGCGCTCGCGCGCGCGCGCATGTGTAATGTTTGCTAATGTTAGTGTACATACATTGGTCATACACACTGGATGCTTTCCAATTGATGACACAAATCGACACAAGTGTCGTTCTATCTTTGTCAATCACTAAATATCAAGAAAGATAGAACGATAGTTGTGTCGACTTGTGTCATCAATTGGAAAGCACCCACTATCTCTTGGCCTACCTTAATAAATATATTATTTATTATCACATAAAAAAACACAACATGTCAAATAATAAAATATTACACACGCATCCACACGCGCACGCACATATATACATGTATATGTATACATATTCTCGACAATAAAATTATTTTTTAAATATATTTTTAATTATATTAATTGCAAAAGAATAAGTAAACTCAATGATCAAATAATCAGGGTTGGGAAGTAACGCGTTACTGTTTTCGTTACTTTTTTCTCTCTGTAACGGTAACGTCATTACATTTTTACAGTAATGGTAACGAATTTAGTCGTTACTTTTACCGTTACTTTAGTTTCCTATTTTTAGTTTCCTATTCAATAGATACGCACTGATTGCGCGCCAATAGCGCGCGCTGATCACGTGCATTCTGGAAACTTATGTTACTTACATTTCCACTGAGCGCGTCACGCGTTTCGTCGTCGAAGCAGAGAAAGAGAAGTGTTGTGTATTTATATAAACTTCTCTCTTTCTCTCTTTCACGACGCGACGCGTGATTTTATTTTGATTTTTAATATATCTAGTTTTTTTTATGATTGAAACATTGTCATGAAAAAATTGTCATGAAAAAATTGTCATGAAAATGTAGAAATGAAACGATATCCGAACGATCGTGAAAGAGATATATTTTTCTTTTTAAGTATAAAATGTGCATGGAGTTGTGTATTCTTTAGTTTTTTTTTAATATAATAACGAAACGAATAACTTTGTTCTCCATGTCGAAGCGTTAAATTTTAAGAACTTTTAGTTTCAAATTTGTTTATGCCAAATTTCAATATTTTGTACTTTGTCTATGTCAAATTTCTATTTTTTGTACTTTGTACTTCTAACATAGCCAAATTATGTGCAATAAATGCAATTATAAAATATTTATTGTTTCATTTTATAATCTATTCTTAATTTCTTTTAAAAATTTTCTAATAATTTTTAGCATTATAAAAAAAAAGTAACGAATCGTTACATTTTAAGTAACGAGTAACGGTAACAAGTTACTTTTTTCAAAAAGTAACGGTAACGGTAACGCGTTACTTTTTTGAGGTAACGCGCACAACTCTGTCAAATATACCTTTATGTCTATGAAATAACTTACATATATAGCATTAAATAATTACTTTAATAATCAAACAAAGAATTTGTTACAAAATACAATTTTATATAAAAATGTTACTTAATATAGTAAAGATGTAATCATCTATTTATATTAAAAATACATATATATTATATTACAAATCATCTAATCTGAATATCTTTTCTAATAACAATTCTAGATTAGATATTGCAGTTCCATTTCCAATAATTTTCATATCTTAAAGCTCATGTCTCATTATCATTTCTATTGTATATACAATTTAAGCACCACATTATATATTAGACATACTATATTATTATCTCATTGCACAACATCAGTAAATCACATTTTCTAATTATTATCCGTGTTAAGTTTTGGTTTGCTTTAAAACCTTTCTGGTTTTCTTTACATGCGAATTAAAAATAGGATTAATAGAATTAAGAAAATCAGATACTTGGCATCTTTTTCGAAATCATCAAAACTCATGCAACTGGCAATCTTCTAGAATACAAGAAAGTGTAAAAATTATTAAAAAAATTAAAGTATAACATTATATTAAATATAAATGCAAAACACACAACTTACTTGGGGCTTAGTTAAATTTTTTTATTTTTTTACAAGTGTCGGAGGTTTTCCTAAATTATTATTAGATTTCAATCTCTGCATACCATGGTCCTCTAACTTAAATAAATGCGATTTACTCCGTGTATGATACCGTGGTATATTCTTTGTATCCTATATAAAATTAATATTATCCTGCCATTAATAATAATATTCAAAATAAATTTAGTAATTAATGACAGTCTAATTAAATACAATCAATTGTAGTTTACAAACTACATATATATGCAATATAATATACAATACTGCAACTATTACTCTTTTTAAGTTTTGGAATATAATTTATTTTTACCATAAATTTATTCATTGACATATCAGAGTTTACAGTATAAGGTTCCTTATGCGTTTTTAAACTCTTTTGCTTGTCACTCTTTTGCTTCCCGGATATTTGATTATAGGCGCGTTTTTGTCCGTTTGTCTGCACGTGCAATAATTGAGTTTTTGAAGTAATGTTTTCAATTTCACAGCGTTTTAATTTTTTTTTCAATTCTGTAGAATGTTTTTTCAATTCACTAAAAATATATTTGATAATATAATTTTTCAGGACAATAATTCTAAAAAGACAATAAAATTTGATATATCAAGAACATTTGTATACTTTTGTTTGTCACATTCCTGTACTAAACATTGTTTTTTTTTGGAAACATGCATATCTTTTTGCTGTTCATTTCTATATTTTTCCCCCAACTCATGTATGCTGCCAAGTTCCCTGAAACATTCAATACAAGTCTATATATAATATTAGATTCTATCTCCATAGATACATTGTATGTAATAAAATATACATTGCATGTAAATATAAAATATCCTTTTAACATTCCTATGTATGTCTTAAATTTGAAAACATCATTTATCTGCGTTATTATATTATTCAATTTATATTTAGAAGAATATATCTATAAGGTTCTGTATGCTACAAAATCAACATTTAATTACAAAATTAAATAGAAACTTGAAAATTGCACGTCTATAATATAATCTATAAAATAAATACTACAATAAATATACTTTTGGAAATATTTGATTTTTTCTTTCAACTTTTCATTCTCTTCCTTTATGTTTGAACATAGTAGTTCATAACATTTAATCTGTCCTTTCTGTATAAGAATTATTTTATTTGTGCTACTTATTTTATGTTCAACTTCAAAAATTTTCTGTTTTAAGTGAGCTATTTCATTCCTCGATTTAACATTGTCCTTTGTAAGTTCATTAAGCTCGTGATTTCTTAGTTTTAGCTGGACGTTCAAGATGTCAACTTCGTTCTGCAGGGATACAGAATCTTTTACGACGTTGTCATCATTTGAAAAGTTGAGATATATTCTCTTTAATCTCTGATTAGTAGTTTTTACCCGACATTGTGGACAAGTCTTTGACCTGAAATAGTTCCACAGATGAAATTAAATGCTTTTAAGTGTAAACAATAACAAAAACTTTCAGGAATTATATATGAAAGTTCATGAAACTTTTTTGAATAATAGGTAAAAATAAAAAAGAATTACAAAAGAATACAAAAATCTTTGAGGCAATATCCAAATTACCTTTTAAGCCACGACTGCAAGCACGCATAATGGAATATGTGCCCACATAATGTACAACAAATATCGTCAAATGGTGTCAATAACTCTCTACATATCGCGCACGATACATTCATTTTATGTTTTGATGACAAACCGGTATGCCAGATTGTAAATATGTGACAACTGGCTCCGTATTAGACGACTGTTATGAATTTAACGATAAAGCTTTCGCAATATTTTACCGAACGCATCAGTGTGAACACTTTATGCACACCGTTGTGAATTCTTCTTGATCTTCTTGTTCGACCACTGCTGCGGGCAACATCATTGAAAATTGGAAAAAGAAATTAAAACGTTCATATCGGTCTCATTGGTTCTGACTGCTTCGATGTAGGGATGAATACTATTTCATTTGTGCGGCTTTTGTCGTACGACAAATGTATACAAGACAGAGAGATCCGAGGACATCTCTATCCTATCAACATCCTTAAAAAATTTGTCGTACGGCGAAATCCAGAGATGAGGAATTTCTCATATATTTAGGCTGTAACCGTAAAGCTTTAAATGTACTGAAGTAGTACAAAGGTCCTCTACTTTCGACTTATTATAATAACTAAATACTAATAACTACTCATATACTAATAAAACTAAGCGCTTATTGGGTTACAGCTATTAGGGCTGAAAATGGCGATCGAAACAACCAATAGGAAAGTTGTTGGCATTTAGATGTAGATAAAAGGATTCAGCTACTTTGGTATATCTTTAGTAACTGCTGTAACGCTTGCCCTCTGAAAGTGCAACCTACTACTATGTAAGCTTCGGTGCGGCATTTAAACCTGTTTTTATGGGAAAATTTTAAAATCGAATTGATTTATTTTTTAAATAAAATTAATATTACATTAATTAATTATCAATATTACATTCATGTTTTTAATACTATGTTATACTGTGATTTAATACTGCTAAGTATTTATTTCTTAAATTTTTGTGTCAACACTTGAATGGATAAAGTGTGTGTGTGTGTATGTGATGCAATTTTGTGATAACATTTTCAATAAGACGATCCTATAAGATTTCAGATTTAATTTTAAATAATAATTTGAGAGAATTAAATAACTACTTCTTTGGTTGTGTGTGTGTGTGTGTGTGTGAAAGAGAAAATGTCTTTGAATGAATTGCGATATAAAAATTTCATATAAGAAGAATTAAAGTATATTTATAATGACGACGTATCTTAAAAAAGTTTCACATCCGATCTTTGCGTCACAATAATTTAGTATAGGGCACATCAAGAAAAAATAAAAGCACTTTTATTATTACAATCTGAGTAGAAACTATATTGAGTAGAAACTATATTGATTGAGCGCACGATAGAACTTGATCAGTTTAGTTATATATATAATAACTATATTAATAATCACACACATATTAACATAACATTATGTCTATTGGTTTAGTCCTTATATTTTTTTGAGATCTTTGAAATCCAATAATTGTAAACTGGGAAAACTCGCTGACTCATATAAAGAAACATGGTAGCGTTGCTGCGCTTGTCTTAGCGCTGAGACACTACCGTGTATCCTGATAATGACAAATATAATAGTTATCGTTACTTCGTGTACATTCAATACATGTGTACAGAATACGTGAATTTAAAAGAAACGTTAGATTTGACAATATTATAATTAGTCATTATAAATCTCCGGTTAATTAATTATTAATTTTGATAATCGAATCACTTATTAAAATTTGGTACCTAATAAAAAAATAACCGAATTATAATTTGATTGATACTTTTGAGTAACAATAATGAGTTACTTTTTATAATGAGTAACAAGTTATAACTTTTTATTAAAAGTAATTATTTCCGACCCTGAAAAAAAATAATTTTCATTCTTATGAAGATATTGAAGAAAAAGAGAGACGTGAAGTCTTTTTTCTGTATAGATTTGGATTCTGCGGGGTTTTCTGCGAAGAATTTAAACATTTTGGCGTTTGGCTGTAAAATCGAAACGTATCGAGGTCATCGAGGTGCCAAACAGCCCTTGCCGGATGGAGAACGAAGAAAGAGGGTCAAAAACGAGCGTTTACTGCTGCGGCAGCGAATTCGATTTCAGGCGAGACGACGATCGCAACAAAACCATTTGGTCTTCGACAAAAGGCAAGCCCGGTTTCCAAGAGCCTCGTGAGACTTTGAAAATCGACTAATCAATTTCTTCCGCGTTACAGAATGCTACCTGACATCGCCTCCCACACGATCCTCTTCAACGTTTGTGCGACCTTGTCGCGAGGGACTAATCGAACCGAAACTTTTTCTACGAGGATCAATGGTGGTACCTAGCCTACTAGCGACACTTGACCATATTTCAAGCGATTGTTACCAACTCCTAGACAATGTACGAAAAACGTTGTCACGGATCTATCGAGTTGAATCTTTGTCTACCTTCGCCCGGAAAACGCACGGAACGAATGCGACTTCGCAACACTTCTTTCTCCACGATGTCACGCCCCGTTCCGTCGACTAATTGTCCAAAAGATTTTTTCTCCAAGCTGCCAACGGTAGCACATATCCAATCGGATTTGTCAAACTTAGTAGTAACGACAAAGTAACGATAGAAGAAACGGTTGATTATATAATAGTATAAGCGAAGAGGCAATATTTCTTAGCTCCCTGTTGTGAAATTGCATTGATATAATCGACTCGAATAGTTATCAACGAGCTTGTTAGAAATGTCTTAATAATCATGGTGAACAGAATGTCATCTGTCAGGATGCAGCAATAACAATTCGTAATGCTTCAAATATAATCGTTTCTTTAAATATCGCTTACAGTTCTAAATTTAAAGAACAGATAAAACTAACAAAACGTGTTAGAAAGAAGAAAGATTTTTGTAGATTTTCTGAGATTATTTGAAATGCAATTATCTCAGTATATTCTCCTGTAAATTTTATTTAACAAATTGACAGTAGCTACAAAAATTTTCCGAGTAATTTTACGATTCTATATTGCCTAGATAAAGTATTTTTACAAATAAAGATTGTATACAAATATTCAATACATTCTTAAAATATCATGATTCTAACAAGAATTTTATAATATGAACAAAAATAGATTAAAATATAAAAATGATCATAAAATTATATTATATGTTGGTCGAAAACTTTTAACAATCACCATATTTCTCCAATTTATAGGACTATAACGAACAGCACAAATAATCGTGATTATATAGTAATATCACGAACATTGTGTCGCAAATTTATTATTGTAACAATTTAGGACACATCTGATTAAGTTTATGTTGAAAAGTTTCAACTACGAATCTGCAGAATTTGCAATGAACAACGGACGCAAGTTTTTTGATATAAATACTTTATCTTTTTATGGTCTCAAATCAGTATATAGACGTCACATTATGTGATTATATACCTTCAAACTATTTTTCTATACAATTCTAATCGTAATGTCGATCATATATTGACTTCTAGGTCAAAGTTCATTCAAAAACGATTTTTCCAAACTCGCTGATCAGCTGTAAATCTTGGCTGAACTTTAGACCGATGAAGTGAAATGCAAAATATTTTCAACCACCTACGGCGGGTTCTCTTCATCCGTATCCGTTGCAGAGAGAAGAATTTTCGAGGGTCCTCTAGAGAAATCCATACGGTTCTAAACTGGTGAATCCCATAGGACCCCCTGGCGTCTTTACAGCTTTGACTTGCCAGGATTTTGCTACTGTACTAAAGACAGATTTACAAGCAGGTATACAGACACGTTCATGGAATGAGTTCTTTAGAAAAATTTATGCCGGGCCCATTATGCGTTCATCATTATTTTACCCCCAGTGACGGTAATAAATATCTCTTTACTTTGGGCAAGCGTCGCCGATGTCGACTTTCGAGATTAATATGAAGTATTTCGGAACATTCTCAAATCGATGGATTAGAAAAAAAAATCATGAAGAACGATTATTAATATTTATAATAATTAAAAGTTGGTAACTTAAAATGCATCACTAATTAAACAAGATCGAATAGAAATACGTTGAAAAAAAAAAAAAACGAGAGGACGGAAACGTGAAGGTAGATTTAAGAATTTATAGGATTCGTTACTTTGTTTTTTCATCGTTGCTCACAAAAGAGCATATTATTTCTAATAGATGATGAATCGATTTCACTGACAATGAGTTGAAGATTCTTAAGATTAAAATTCGCAAATTCGTAAACGGTGCGTTCCAGCCGAAATTCACTTAACAACCGACAATCACTTCGCTTGCCGCGCTATCGTCTCCGGTACCATACACATATCAGTAGCTATGATACACACGAGATGCAATCCTCCGCGACACGTTCCGTGGGCGGCCCCGTGGGCAGAGCCGCCCATTGTGCGGTATTCGTTTGCCAACCACGTGGTAGGGCGTAGCCAGTAGTGGGACCCCACTGGTATCATAAGTCCCAGCGAGAGAGAACAGCGGAGCCCCCTTCTACCCTCCACTACAACGTCCGGACATGAGCCCCCCTCGGTGCTCTCTCTTTCGAGGGAGAGACACACGGGACACACGGTACCCCACAGCTGACACGTTATTGCCGCAGTACCCCTCGTAACGAAAGCAACGTGTACTTTACCGATTCGTTTTCTTGTTTCCCGGCTCAGGAACGTGCTTGATCGCGACGTCGCCCTCCCCTGAGTTCGAGGGCAACCGTAGCAACTTCACGCAAAAATCATTTTCATCCCCTATACCCGGATACAGTAGACAGTCGTGTTTTATTTGTTCCTTCCATCCGGTAGAGCGTCCTGCAGTTCTGTTTTTCTCTTTTTCTTCTCTTTTTCTCTTACGAGATTCTACTCGACCATTCGTGACTACATTCTTGGAAACTGGGACCAAGGCGACCGTTCCTCCCTCTGGATTTGGATGCTCGACGAACAGTCTTTTTCTTTTGGGACGAGTGGCGAGTGCTTTCCGAGTCGAGAGTGGCAAAAGTGGCGTTTCTTCTGATAGTGTGTGTGAGAATAATTGTGTTACTCGGATAACGCAGCGAGAATCACCGGCATGGATGTCAGCGGAATGAGACCCACGTTTGGTGGATATCTGTTCCAAGGTTAGTTTTTGAATCGAAATTGTGCGAATCGAATTGAATCAAAATTAAGTAGCAAAATGATGAACGATAACAGGCATGAAAAATTCTTGTTATTCTTTCACATTTTTATAAATTTTTTTTTTAATCGGATAATATATTTAGTATCTCTAGAAAAATAATAGAGCTTTCCCGAAAATTTATCTAGAAGTCATTTTCCTGAAATTTCCTAACAAGGTTAGAAATTATCGAGAAGGTTAAATACATTTTATCGCATCATTTTAAAATAACAAACATTCGGACTAAATTCGTGGTTTAAATTATTATCTTAAACTCACCTTCATGATCGTTACATATTTAATTTTTAAACTTTTTATTATTGTTATGTATTAGCTCTACAGCATTTCTGGCATTTTCTCAGCATTTTTATTTTTTCTGTTGTCTGAGATGTTTGCTTGTTGTTTTTTTCCCACCGAAATTTATATGTATATATAATTATTCACGAAAATTTTTATTGCTATCTCAAGTTTCACTTTGTTTACTTTCTTTCTTCTTTTTTACATCTTTGAAAATCTTTGATATTAGGTCTCTTCGCGTTGCTTAAATCCCCCAAAATTTTTACAAAAGCAACAAAAATAATATTGATGCACGTGGACAGTCTCATAAGTTTCATCAGTGACTTTTTTTACTTTTTTAAAATCAAAATTCGATTTTTATTATTACAGTTTTCTTTTAAAAAGTCACTGATTTAAAAAAACTGCCCACGTATAATGATTTTAGTTAATTTATTTTAAATAAATCGGTAAATTAGAATTCTCGATCTTTATAATTTTTTCCACAATCTCCGCTACCGATCTAATTTCGACGTCAACAGTTAAACTGATAGATCTTTTCTATAATCCTTTATCGCGCGAATACTCACGATCTTTAGACAGTCAAAGAGCTGCTGCATAGATTAATATTTTTTAAAATAAATTAATTAGGCACTATGGCAAGTTATAATCGTGCTGTTCAAATACAATTCCTAATGATTATAATACATAAATGTTTTAATGGGAATAGTTTCGCGATTTGCATTTCTTAATTGCGATTCTCAGATCTTATCTGGCCGCGTGCGTCTCTGACGGCTTTCGTACGATAATAACGGCGTGCGTAAAAGGGTGCATTTGCGTCGAATTATACTGACGTTAATCGTCGTATTTGAAAATTTCATTACTGCGATTAAATAATTTACGCAACGCCACGTCGATAACAATGCAGCCGCTTAATCGTCACGTTCGCGCACGGTTATTAAGACGATAATTAAATTCAGTCACGATCGCCATTAACACACATTCGATCGATTGCACCGCCGTGTGATTTTGATAAATCAATCCTGTCCAAAGCGAGCGATCCCGTCGTAAATTAAATGGTAACGCGCGTTCGCGCCGCGCCTGGCCGTACATTAAACATTCCCCTTCGCCGCCATTTAATTGATATTCATCTTTAATACGAGCTCGCGCTTCGAAATTGAATAAGACAAATCTACATTTGATATTATCATGCCCCGTATTGGACATGGATATTTATTAGGCGTGACATAATTTTCCCTTAGGCGCATTGTGTGAAACGCATCGCGGTAACACTAACCGCAAATTGTCGAAACGATATATCGTATTCGCTAAGTAGGTAATTAGCGATCGTTAAAAATGATAGGTAATGCACATATCGTGATCATTATGCTTTTATTTGATATCTATTTCTATCAATGTAGATTAATTATATCGGTTTAATTTATCTTTTACATCTTCTTCTAAGAATTGGAAAAAATAAAGAGTAAATTGAGAGAACTGAGATTAAAATTAATTTACATTTTCATAGAAGCAAGTCTGAATCCAAAAATCAATATCCATTATTACTATTCGACAAATAAAAGAAAATATCAGCCGCTTGATTTGAACAAATTATTATTTTAACAAATAACGATGTAACAAATATGTAATAAAATAATTGTTAAAATTTATTACAAAAATATTGTAATTTTCATACAAAGATAAATGTGAATGCATTTTTTTACTTATTTTATTAACAACCTAAAGCATATTGTTATATATATATATATATACCTATAAAGTATCTTTCAAAATACAGCACTCGCAACAGTCATATTTTCAATGAACGTGACTTTTTCCGGGGTCACAGTGGGACGTCCGAGACAGAACTACAGAAGTCTCAAAAGACATCCCGACGCAAGCAGGCCGTTCAGGCCGATGTGACAAAGACAACGATTATCTTTGATATCGGCCGAAGGTTAACTACTGAGAATTCCTCGAAAGAGATCCACGACCGATCCGAGGATTACAACAAGCAGATTCCTCGACAATGAGATTCCGTCGTTACAGACGCGCGCGCGTTCAGACGATTATTATAATTACCCATCTCTCCGCTCTGTGTACACGGATCGTCCGTAATGCGTAAACATAGTAATTACGCGTGCGGCATCGCGCGCGCGTTTACCCGGGATGGCCTGATGATACGGGAGCTAATGTCACGTACGGTAGGGTGGCTAATTCGACTAACGATCCGGCTTTATACTCGTTAGTGCTGGAAACGGCCCGGTGCACGCCTCCTCGCGCGCATAACTTCTTCAATTTTACGGCTGTTAGCCGTGTTTTTGGTATCCTCAGCTGTATGAGAGTGCACGCCGCTCCTGTTATCTGATTTCATGTTTGCGCCCCGGTCCGATTCCGTCGCTAATTTCAAGCTCAATCGCCGCAATTGCGCGACCAGAAGGCCGCTCACGAAACCAAATTTTCTTCCACCGTTTGTTACCTTCGTCGCTCGTTTTTCCGATGAGAGCCATCAGGTGCGATTATTCGCCGATTCGCATTTTCGCAGTTTTTACTGGGAAAAAATTAACACGTCCGCCTATTTGATGTATTTTATTAATATTTATTTGACCGATTCCGTATGTTTTAAAAATTTTCTTTATCTCTTCTCGAAATATAAATTTGTTACCTCTGGAGCAAATAAGTTTCGAGAAGTTGTGAAAACATATAGACCCTTAAAATTTAAGATTGCAATGCAATTGCAATTAATTTTGTTTAAAAAATGTCTAGAAGTATCTATTTTTATATTTCGTAATTAATAATATTTACTGTTTAAACTATAGATATTATTGATTTTTCGTTTTTTCTTTTACAGGACAAGGGCGAATGAATCAACTAGGTGGAGTTTTCATTAATGGGCGACCTCTTCCTAATCACACCCGCCTGAGAATCGTAGAAATGGCCGCTGCGGGAGTCCGTCCTTGCGTGATTTCCAGACAGCTTCGAGTCTCCCACGGCTGCGTATCGAAGATTTTGAATCGATATCAGGAAACTGGATCCATTCGCCCGGGCGTGATTGGCGGCAGTAAACCACGGGTAGCCACGCCGGAAGTCGAGTCTAGGATCGAAGAATTGAAGAGGGACAATCCAGGAATATTTTCCTGGGAGATTAGAGATAAACTTATGAAGGTAAGCGGAAAAATTCACACATTCTATAAATTATTCAAATAACCTCGGAAGAGAATAATCATAGTAAGAAGAGCTCCGTTTACAAAAGTCCTTCGGAGAAATTAAATCTTAAATAAATCAAGAAGAGGTGCTGTATAATAAAAAAAAAGAAAAGAAGAATGAGAAAAATACACGAAGCTACGATTGTATGAATACGAAGGCAAAATAGTGATTTCAAGCTGCTGCTTTATTATTCCGGTCACGCGGACATTTTTCCGTTCGCGGGAACCCCGCGAGCCATCGTTCGACCCCTTCGATCGAACGTGGTGGACGTTTTCTGCGCGCTTACTAGTGTCTCTATCTCTCTCGGGGATCATGCTCAATGGGGCTTTTTAATCTTGTGCACGAGGCAAGAGCGGCGGGGTACGTGAGCAGCCCGAGGCGACTCGCGTGTCCTTTAATACTTTACTGACCGCCGTCTACACCCACGCCTCATTGGCGTAACACCTCCGTGTCTGGATTTTCGAGTATGCAAATGTGCTTTTCCGTAGATAATCTCTTCCGCGTTGCACCGTTCAATCCCGATGTACCATCCGATGATTTTCCGATAGAAACAAAAAAAAAAGAAGAAAGAAGAAAAAGGAAAAAGAAAGAAACGCTTCGTTCGTATAATGCATGAAGAAGATATTACCGTGAAAAGTGAAAGATTAATTACGTATACGCGACGTCAACGCTGAATTTGAGGACATATTTAATTATGAGTTGCTATCGACGTAGGCGTTAGTAAATTACGGAATGTAAGCAGAATACAAATATATAAAAAACACCGAAAGAATTTCTCATCGGCAAAAATTATATTATATAATATGTAAGGAAGAGAATTATCGCTTTTCTCTGATCTAAATTTATTTTCCTACAATTTTTTTGAAGTAAAAATACTTAACATCATGAAAACAAGATGAAATCAAAAGATGATGTCACCAACAACTATCAGGAAATTAAATTGATTATTTAATCCGGCGGTTTCGTTGGCCGAGCGACGTGAATCCCGATTCACCCCCGGGCTCGTCCTGCTTTTATTTGCGATCGTGTCGATCGCCCGGCGCGGTAGCACTCCTCTCTCGGAGCAACAAAAGTCAGGTATCGGATCTCAGGGAGGCCCCGAATATCTCTACGTGTCTCCGCGATAAGATCGGCGGCGGTTCTCAAACCGAAACCGTGCGAAATTCCGATAGGACGGGATATTTTGTCCCTCCCTTCGATGCTGAAACACCTCCCTTGCCGAGGGCGATCTGCTCGATAGAGAGATAAATCTTGCTCGAAAGAAGTATCATGTGCATCGACCGCAAGAGCGACAATAAGGAGAAAATGTATCAATCTGCGGGGGACGTGCGTGTAAAAATACACGCGCGAGAGAGAGAGAGAGAGAGAGAGAGAGAGAGAGAGAGAGAGAGAGATATTGTGGAAGAACCAGTCAGAAAGAGAATGAGAGTGAAAGCGAGAACGCGAAAGAAAGCAAAGCATGAGCAAAATGAGAGTAATAATGTGTGTGAGAGAGAGAGAGAGAGAGGGACAGAACAACGAGAAGAATATGAAAGGAGACAGGAGAGAGAAACTAGGGGGTTATATGAGGGCGAGAGAGCAAGAAAAGAGGGCTCTTGAGAGCGAGAAAAAGTGAATGAGCGAGCGAGAGAGAGAGAGAGAGAGGGAGAAGAGGGAGAGGTCGCCGAAAAACACCGTTCGAAGAAGGAGAGCAGATATGGACGGGCGGACTACGAAGGGCGAGACGACGAGAGGACGACAAGAGAGCCGTCGTCGTAGAGAGGAGGAACGAGAAACGGTTTCGAGAACACGTACGCCGCTGCAGTCGTGGAGGCAGGCCGGTCGTGGCCGGCATTAATACGGCATTTAATGTTGGAAGGGGGCGTTCCTGGGGCCCCGAGGCCCGCAGGGCGCCTCTCTCTCCTCGTCGCTCCTGTAGTCCGGCTGCTTTGCCGGGCCTACGTTTATCTCTCTCTCTTTCCTGTCATCGCCCGGGACTCGACGCCTCAGCCACCACTGGCAGAAGGATCGTTATTGTTTCTGAGATCGGCAGATAGCGATCGACACCGACGACCCCCTTTTCCTTTTTTTTTTTTCCGTCTTCTCTTCTTCCCTCTTGTGTCTCATTCTCCTTCTTCCGCTCTCTCAAATCGCCGCTCTCGTTCATTCTTCCACCCGCTCTTCCCCCTTTTAAATCTTCGGCAAAGGCAAAAGGCAGTTCTTTCACCTTGGCTCGCGGGATAATGCTCACTCGATCTTACCACGCGCTTTCTTTATTTATCTCGTTCTCTTTAGCGAATCGCCCGTTCGGCACGCACTGATCGATCGCCGCCGCCGTCTCTCGATCGCGCCGCTGATAACGCCGATCGGTATCGGCGCGTGCGTACGTGAGCAGATTTTCGCGGCTCTGCGGCGGGACGATGCTGGGTAGGTGTGGCGACGAAGTTTTCTTGATACCCGATATGGAATCACGAGATATGAAGAAATCTTGGAAACACTATACGAGCTTATGAGCTACACTGCGTCCAATATCTCATGTAATCTCAGTTAAATGGACTTGATCTGAATAATTTCGATCTTCATCGTGATGTTAAAGTTATACATGAACTTATTTTTTCACAAAAGGAACAAATCGACTTTCGAAGCATTGTTAATTTCAAAAAATAGCAAATTTTCCTGTTCGTTTAATAAAATACAAGGTGACACACACATGAAATGTCAAACCATTTATCCAATTTTCAGGATTTAGTAATCAATTTTATACCATATAATTTAATTAAAAATTAATGTATTATATGTATATAAATTAAATAGTACAATATTTTATGCGGCCACTTTGCATATTTTTTTTTTCTTAAATTGAGCATTTTGATATGATTTTTCTAAATGCTTTTTAAAACTATATCGTGTATATTTTTTTTGGGACAAAAGTACTTACATAAAAAAAATGTATTACAGACATTGGATACTTTGTACTTAATCGTTACTATTCTTTTGTGTGGTACGAAGTGGCTATCCTATGGATAGTTCACTTCGTGGACATCTATTAGCAACCGCACATTGGAATCGTTAAAACTACAATTGCTATGACAAAGATGATGGCTCAACAAAGTTCCCGTTTGTGATGTTATGAGTCTTTTGTTTCTCGTAACGGTCATTTGTAAGTACACTACTGCAAGTGCAACGCCAAAACTACTGCAATTGAAGAAAAGAGTTATTCCGCTTCTCACACAGACGGAAATAACGGAATTCGCAACTGATTGTTTGCTGAATCACGAATTCTTCTCCGTATTCTGAGATGAGATAATTAAAAACTAGCTAACAATCGCGATTCATCAAGCCTCAGAATGCTCAAGACGACAAATGTCTCGTTGCAAGTAATTTAAATAGCAATTCTAAATCTAAGCAGTAGTCCTACTTACATTTTATGATTCATTTATTTCACGTCGCACGTGTAATTAAATCGCAATCACAGTAAGTCATTTAAGGCAAATCGCTTAAAATAAATGCCACGAAATGATTTTAAGAGAGCTTACTCATCGCAAATAAAATCAAATGATTATATATTAAACGTTAAATTAATTTTATTTCTTTTTATTTCAATCAAATTAATTTTATTTATTTCGCGTAAAATTTGCGATGATGAATTTATATATGTTTCCTCGAATGACCAACTTATCGAAGATAAGTTGATCTCTGGATCATCATTATGATCGTTTGAATCCTACCTATGCCAACGATGCAACGAAACCACGTTGCTTCGCTACGAAAAGGTCGCTTTCGTTTTCCACAATTACCTGTGCATTTCGTCGCCGAGCAACCTAGATCCCGCGGGCCGTATTTTGCCGTGGTGCACACGCGTGTAACGGTGCCAGGATATACAATATATAATAATGTTGAGTCTCTCTTGGCGCGGTGCAAATATGTATGCCGACACGAAAATAATCGCACCAAATTGTAGTGCAGTAGCCTGCAGTTGCAAATGCCACACGCGGGTCGACGGTGCCACGTAACTCTATACGATCGATCGATCCGCCGATCTCTAGCCGGCGAACGCTGAATCGAGACGGAAACGTGCAAAGCTTTGCGTAAGCCTAGCAATCTTTGCTCGCGAAATCGCGGAACGTTTTTACGCGGAAATTACTCGAATTAATGCGAAAACAAAAGACGAAGGGAATAGAACCGTCTTATCATTATCATAATGATAGTATCGCAGTTTATCTTTCGAAAATGATATATTCTGTATGATGAGAAATCTTTACAAAAATTGTTGGTTCCGTTGAATAACTCCAATCGTGGAGTAGTTCAATTTGACTTCTAATTCTATTTCTATAGAAAACCATTAAAATGAATTTTGTGTTACACTGATTGTAAATTACAAGTGAAAACTTTAGTAGGCATTATATACATTACTTATAAGATAAATAACTGTTTTAATCTAATTTTAGTTTTAATTGTATATTTAGTACTATTTTTTTTTTGTTAATTTAGGTTTTTAGGCAGCATTTTTGCTGATTATTTTATCTTACAACACATATCTTTAAGAAACGTTCTAAAGACGTTCAGAGAATGTCTCATATCTTAAAAATATCCCTTAAAAACGCAATGTATTGCGTGGGACCGTTTATCTTTCTTCTTATTTTACGTTCTGCTGTATATTTTCTTTTCTATATCTATATAGTATTGCAACAATAAATGTATTATTATTATTATTATGTTGAATTATGTCTGGTTTGTCATTTTAATAAGCAGTTTGGTTTGCATGCAGGAAGGTTTCTCGGATCCACCAAGTGTCAGTTCAATTAGCAGACTTCTTCGGGGTGGACGACCAGGAGATGACCCAAAAAAGGATTACACTATCAATGGCATATTAGGCGGCGGTAAGAGCTTTTTGATTTGATACTTTTTCTCTCTTTGTCTCTCTTTACTAACATAAGTTTTATTTAAAAAAAATTCTATGTGCGCATTATGATCAGTACAATTTTTCAATAAATTCCGAACGATCGACGTCAATTCTCTTCCAATCCGAGTATCTCTTCGCTCGATCATTATCTGCTCGCCGCTCGCGAAAAGCAAAACGAACACGTAACAGTACGAAAGCGACGTAAAGTTCCCATCGGACAGTCGAAGGGTTAATTACCCTTTTAGGCTGTCAGCAGCGAGAAAGAAGTCCGCGCGCAGCGGGCCCAATAGCAAAGGCCGTGCCGGCGCGATACCGTACGAGAAATATGGAACGCAGAAGGAAGATAAGATAGAAAAAAAAAAAAAGAAAGAATGGAGAGACGCACGATCCATCGTCTTGAGGGGCATCAAGAGCTTTTAACCTCCGCCGGTCCCTGTGGACCCAGTTTGACGTACGCGAGCGTATATATATCGGGGCCTTAAGCGCCTCGCTCGCCCTCGCTGTTAGGAACCAAGTTATAGTAGTCCGAGCGAGCTGGCGAACCGGCGGGATTTAATCTCCGGTGGGCGTCAGCAGGATTAGCCAAGTTGCCCACACGTCCGACAAACGGATTACAGAAGTGTCAATATCTTACCGGACGCGAGATATTATCCTACGTCTCTCGTCTCGTCTCGTCTCTTTTACCGTCTTCCTCCTTCCGAGATTTCCGTGAAGTGGTTTCGCTCCGATACTTGGTCATTCGGAAAGGTATACCTTTCAAAAGTAACATTTCCACGACGCTTCTGAACGAGGAATCGTGCAACTTTTCCAATTCTTATTTGATGAATTTTTAGCAGATTTTATTATCGCTATTATGAAGAATCTTTCAATGTATTTCCTTATTCTTTAAAAGTTAATTATTAGTTAATTTATAGTTTGTACAATAAAAAAAAAGCAAATGTATATTTCTAATGTAAAATTCATGAAATAATAATTTTCCTGTGACACTTTTTTTTACTATTTAATAATAAAAAAAACTAGTAGATAATTGAGAAGCTTATTTTATTCTACATTTATCAGTTTATGTTACACGAGTTATGGAGAATTACTAACTGTTTGTAAAGTATTACATCTCTTTATTGTCATAATTAAATTTAAAAAATGATGATTATTTCTATTAAACTTATTAGATCGCATAATTCTAAAATACTCGCTATTGAGCCTTCTCGATCCAGAGGTCCATTTCGTTTTGACGGAATTCTCGATGCGCCTAAGCCGCGGGCGCGCACGATCAACCTAGATATTCCAAACGCGAGGCGGGAATCTGTTTTCGTGATTGATACAGGTAGACACGGTGGAATTAGCGGTACAGGTGTCCCAAAGTCTTAAGAAGTCAAGCCGGCGAGGATGCTGCCGGAGTCGAGAAAAGATCCTTCGATCGCGGACCGTCGAGAATGCGAGGAAAGAGTCGAGAGCCAAGAGGCAAGAGTGGGCCTCAAGACCCAGGGGCTCCGCGAGGGTCCCGCGGAGATCAAACGGACCGCCTGCCACACGTCGACAGCGGTGCTCATCCGCGGCTCCCTGCCGTTCCTACGACGATTCTTTAATCAATCTAGTCGAACAAATTGGTCTTGCGAAGTGCGCGCGTATCGTTTCACGTAATATTTCGCGCAAGTAATCTTTTGACACGACATTTGCATCTCAGACATGGCATTGAAGTCGAGACTGAAGCGTATAGTGATGGACGGGCGGTAAAAATATCGGCGCGGTCATAAATAACCAGAAGCACTCGATGAATTTCAAAAAATAATAATTAACGTCTTAAACCAGGGCGCGAATTTCGTCAATAAGAAGGCGCCTTTGAGGAAACGCTAACCGCGCGTCGAGCAAACCGAGGAAACCATCAATTACAGATGCGTATCATTTTCGGCACGGATAATTATGCACTCGTGATAAGCAACTGCCGCACGCGCTTCATAATTTTTTCTTAAAATTACAACGATAGAAATCTCGTTCGCTCGCCTGCTTACCCTCGTCCTTGCCACGCCGGACGTGGTGCAAAAATGAATAATTATTTAACGAGCGGGTACGCATTCGATCTCATTCACGCCGCCGTTTATTCATCATTAACCGCTTTCGCGGTCAGTGTAATTGATTAACGCCGATCGGCCGAATTAAAGCGCCGGCGATGCACTTTATCCGCGCCGCAATTCACCTGTGCAAATTTCGAGATAAAAGACGCGGTCCGTCTTTCACACGCCGTAAAAATAAATAAACCCCGAAACAAACGCGGCTTTACGACTTCCTGCCATCAATATAAAACGAGAAGTATTTAAGTCACTATTAAAATATCGCAGTACCGTTATAAAGCGGATACTTTGCACGGAAATTCATTAATTAAAAAAAGTTTACAATTGATCTATATAGTAGAAATAAGGCGATTGAGATTTTTATGTGCACAACCATTGTTAACGAATTGTCGAAATGTTATCTTACATAAATAAAAAAATTCTGCTAAAGTACCTAAAAATTTTAATTCAATACAGAATCGCAAATAATTTTATTTTAAATCAAACTCTATCCTGATAACTACAAATTTTTAGCGTTACAATGAATTTTAGAATACAACCTACGTAGAATGCTCAAGCTGTTTGCTAGAATGTCAAAACTTTTATTGCTCATTACGTTTGAGTATTCTGCATAATAATTCTGATAGTCTAACAAAATTATTTTCCAGATCTATATCTTGTTAAATCTCTGGATACGTCACCAAAATCGTTTCGTATTCATCTAAACTTAACGAAAATACAGCATACACATTAATCAAGTTGATGTGAATCATCGTACAACATTAATTACAACTTTGATGAAAAGCTAAAGTCCATGGCATATACAAAAACGTAAAACAATTAATTGAACAAAAGCAATAAGCAAATCGATCATAGTAGAAAACACAAGATTATTGCCGTACGGTTGTCCATTGTGAATTGGCCAATTTGCTTATTACTTACGTCTTTCTGTGTATCTGGCTTAACGTGAGCCTTTCAATTTAGCCCATTTTCCAGATAAGGGTGAATTACTATCACTCTCAGCGCTGCCGTGCAGTTGAATAACTTACGGGTGAGTCTGCGCGCGGAATAGGGAGCAAGGGGGCAATATCGTGATAGGGAGCACCTCTGGATGGATATACTCGTAGTATGGCGGAGGTGTCGGTCAGGGTATAGGTGTCGGCAGGCAAGCAGGAATGACACGTAGCCTGTGGCTTTCTTATTCCTTCTTATTCCGTTCCTTTGGCCTCGGCCGCCGACGAGGGATTAGCCTAATGGGTCCTGCCCACCCCCCTGCACCATCCCTCCCCTCTGCCCCCTCGTGCTGCACACACGTGTATAATATGTATATATGCGTCCTGATCCCTCTTCGTGCCACTTCTCTCTCTCTCTCTCCCTCTCTCTCGCTTTCTTTCTTTCTTGGATCTCGTCTCTCGAACGCAAGATCGAACCGGGCAGAATATCCGCGCGATGAACAACGCCGCTAAGTGATTCACAATCAGGTTTATTGATTGTATCGACGATCGACGATCGACGATCGCTCTCATCGGAAATGCGCCGCCGACGCTCACGGGATACTGTTTTTAATGTTTAAGCACACCTCGGCGCACCGCGCCGGGATCCTTTTCTTACGCGCTGCCGACTCGCTCTCGCATGATTCGCAATCAAATTTGCAGATTACATCGCTACGGCTCGACGTTCACATTGTTCGGCCGTCGCGAGTTGCTTCAACGTGCTATTATCAAGCGGCGCGCGAAGAGTCAATAAGATCTCTCGAAGTCGCGATAATATCGAAATGGAGTCCTTAGTACGCTAAAAACGGTGATTTGCATGTTATATTGGTATTACTTCGCTTTACCATGTCGGCATGGAATTGATCATCTTGACGATCAAAAAATTAATTTATTGCCCTCCTCGTACAATAGCATAAAAGAGTTCAACTACGTTGAAAACATTTATGTGTCTCTTGCGATAGAGTTTAAATTCCATGGCGCGTTATTTTATCGAGGGAGAGCGCTTTAATTACCCGCGATATTATATCGGTCTGTCAAAAAAAAAAAAGAGATTTTTGCGAAGAAACGAGATTAACCACACATCCCCTCTAATTTATTCACAACTTCCTTGCTTTATCAACGTCGCGTATCAGGCGTGATACTTTGTCGCTCCACGGTTTGTAATCCTTATCTCCGAGGAGTCGCAAAACATCGCAGTTCGAGAGTCGACACATCGACGCGATGAGGAATGCGAAAGGAGTCGGTGAGCGATTACACGGGCGAGAGAAAAAGGACGCAAGGACGCAAGGGAGCTGAGGGCCGGACGTCGGGGCTGATATCAAAGCGTGTATCTAATGCGCCGCACGAATCGGGCCGCAGGCCGCAGAATCCGTGGACGCGATCCTTGTCACGCGAGCGTATAATCCTCCGAGAGCGATGTACATACCCGTATCATACGACGTGTGTCTTTACGGACGCAGCTTTACCCTCGGATTGAATTAAGAAGGAGTCTGGGGTTTATGCGGGATAATCCTCTCGGATTGATTGCTAATTACTTATTCTTACATTTTGTATCCGACTTATCGCGACATCTTTTTTCGAGGAAATCTGCGGGTGAGAGAGAATCCGGGTATTACATAATTTTACAATTTAAAAAATATGAAATAATTTCTTTTCAATTTTGCTATATGTAAAGTATAACATTGATAATTATACTGAAGTATCTAAAAGTATAGAGCTATAGATACATAGATCTGCGAAAATAATTTTGTTGGATATCAAAATAATTATGTAGAACTTAAACTGATTACTAGAATGTCAAAACTTTCTACATATCATTACTCATCATGTTTAAGGTTGCTAAGTAAATGTTTTGAAGATCCAACGAAATTATTTTCAGATCTGTTTCTGGCAAAATTCTTGAATACTTCAGCAAAATTCTTTTTATCGCCAAAAAT